ATTTTTAAACAAACCCTAATTTTTCAAAATGGCCGCCGATTAAAGTTCAAAATGGTCAACAATTGGCAACCTCAACTTTTTGCCGATGGATTCGCCTGAAACTCGGTGTTTGGGGGTATCTGGGTTTGTCTCCTACCCAGATACCCCCAAACACCGAGTTTCAGGCGAATCCATCGGCAAAAAGTTGAGGTTGCCAATTGTTGACAAACCCAGATGGGTAGGAGACAAACCCAGATACCCCCAAACACCGAGTTTCAGGCGAATCCATCGGCAAAAAGTTGAGGTTGCCAATTGTTGACCATTTTGAACTTTAATCGGCGGCCATTTTGAAAAATTAGGGTTTGTTTAAAAATATAACGTCGAATTTGTTCTTCTCGGGTCAAAATACCCCCAGATACTGAATTTCAGGTGAATCCATCGGCAAAAAAATGAGTTTGTCAAATTTTCGGCCACTTTGAGCCTAAACCGGCGGCCATTTTGAAAAATTAGGGTTTTTTTAAAAAATCTAACGTCAAATTCGTTTTTCTCGTGCCAAAATACCCCTAGATACCGAGTTTCAAGCAAATCCATGTGCTAATAGCAGAGGTGCCAATTTTCGGCCATTTTGAACTTTGACCGGCCGCCATTTTGAAACGGTTTGAGATAATGACTTCGGATTCGAGCGAAAAATTTTCTTTTTTTATGCTCTTTCGAACGAGGTGTCACAAAGGGGGTCTTCCCATTAAAAAAAAAGTTAGGGTCCGTAACCCCCCCCCCAAGGGGGGGACGCCCAAAATTTTAGGGGGGTTCAAAAAGTAGCTCCCTTTGATCTAGGAACACCCGCCAAGTTTCAAATCTCTACCTCAATTAGGTCAAAAGTTAGAGGGGGGGAGGGGACTTTTCGAACATCCTGTACAGTTCGGGCCACTTTTTAGTGTTTTTTTTTTTTCTTAATCAACCATTTTTATTTATTTGTTAATCTTTTATTTAATGTCTAATCAATTTTTGGTGAAACGTTTATTTCATGTATTTTTCCTGTCTTTTTTGTTCTTTTTTTTTTTTTTTTTTTTTTTTTTTTTTTTTTTTTTTGACACCCAGCACCATTTCATATTTTTCTCAATGTGGAGAGCTTACGAATGATATTAATGCAAATTTAAAGGTATGCTTAAAATTAAATTTACGCTTACAAACTTTAAAACCCCACTGACCACTCTCTACTATCTACGTACGTATTGGAGTCTCCCGTTTGTTTCTGATTTGAACTTTTTCCTCTCTTCTTTTTATTTCATTAAGTTTCATTGTGAACTACTTTTAGTACAGTTTTTTTAGGAATAAAGAATACACGATTCTCTGGCAATGGTACCTACGGTCAGCCCAGCGCGTCACGTGGGGGGGGGGGCATAGTTTATTCGTTATCTTCCCCCCCCCTCTAACCCCGGCCCACGCCACTCATATCTAGCTCGAGTATTACCTATTTACTGCAGCATGGCTCGCAGCATCACTGCACATGGCGATACAACTCTGCCTGCCTGGTTGAGGACCGAAGAAACTTGCAGATATGTCAAGCGCAATTCTGCAGCGCTACAAAAAATAAGGAAATAGCAGTAACTCCATTCAGCCGTGGACCGCAGTTAGCACGTACCCTTATGCGCGCCGCATGATGCACTTCAAAGTGGAGTCACTCCTACTCGCGCAATACAACAAAATCGAAGCCTTGTGCGTGAATAAGACGAAGGCTCATTGCATTGAAAAATTGAATATTCGTCGTTTTTACCCGGAGGACTACGATCTCAATTAATCGCTCACATCGAGGCAGGGGTCACGCTCAGCGGAATGCTAATCAATGAGTGACCATCTGTGGAAAATAATCTATTATGAAACAGAATACAGGATTTTGTCCGTATATTCTCGTTGCGTTTTTCTTCTTACGCCTCTTATGCTAAATAATATTGCAGCGTTTTGCTACCACGATAAGAAAAAACGTCATGTGTGCATGCATCCAATTCTTACCAAATTTCCTTCGATAAACAATTTAGGTATTATTGAGGAAAGTTACCGATATTCTTCCTTAAAATTTTTAGATACGATACCTAGGTGAAATTACGAGTGCCTTCCCCCAAAAAATCGGAAGAAACTAATTGAAAAATTGCCTTTTGTAGTAGGAACGGAACGGAGCGTTTCGTCGCTTTTGCGGATAGTCAGTAGCAAAGGAGCATAACTTCGATTCACTTACCTTACCCCACTAGCAAACCAAGATTTAACATCTCTCGCTTAGTCTAATTTTCCACCAACTTTGAAATTACCGTCATTTTTCAATGGCGGGAATTTTAACCCTCCCCCCTTCCTCAGCTCCCTGGTCCACTCCTATATAAAAAACTTGGGTCTTATTGCCAAAAGCTGATTAAGGCGATCTCCTCTAAGAACTATCACCTATCGATTGCCTTAAGAATCCTAGAAATAGGCATAGTAGAACGCTCAAACGAAATATGACACGCAATAAAATTTTACAATATTTAAATGCGAAAATTCGCAACTTTACCACGTCGTATACAAAAACCTGGGCCATATTTTCAAAATCTGAATAAAACGGGCTCATCTACCGGACAATTGCCTGTTGATAGCCGCAAAAATCATGAAAATCGGCCCAGTAGAACGCTAGAACTTAGCGTTGTCAGAAATGAAAATTTAGGAGGCTTAGCTCTTTTAGTTAAGATTCATAGCAACTCTAGGCTAACACGACGCTCTTCTTTGGTACGGTCGCGGTAGTATGAAAAGACGCTGTTTGAGGATTCACATTTTGCTAACATCTTTTTTCGGAGTAAAATTGGCATCGCACGAATGGTGATACGATGTTTTTCTTCAGCGCAGAAGCATTCAACACATAAAGTGCATTTTAAAAGGGCTCGAGGAACGTAGACTCAAGACCTTGGTTTGCCTTTCAATCATGCCTCTCGGAACTTATGGGCCGACAGCGATCCGGCTCTTTCAAGAATAAACGGATGTCTCCTGGCCTGACCGCCGGCAGTTTGTTCGATAGATGTATGCATTTAGACCAGTGTTTGCGCTAGTGACAGTGCGGATTCAGCGCTGCTTTTAATCGGAACGTCATTTTCACGCATCGTGTTTTGCTTGTTTCTCATAACTGGCGAGAGCAGATAACTTCGAGGATTTAGGTAGGATCGGCTTCCATTTTACGCTTCTACATTTGATTCTTACCCAAAGTCTTTGTTGGCGCAGTGGAAGCGTGCTAGGCCCATAACCTAAAGGTAGGTAATAGGGAAAGAAAAAAGAACACTGTGAGGGACGTTTTTATACACCTTTATCTTACGAGGCTGCAGACAGAATTGAACTAGAAAAAGAGACCCAAAAAGGGAACTGGAAAAGCAAAACTTTAAAACAGCTGACGCTTCGCTTGGCGCTTAGGTGTCAAAAATTAACAAGTGATTGATTTTTGAGGGAGCGTGTTGGCGCAGCATCGTCGAGCGTCAGCTTTTTTAAAGTTTTGCTTTTCCAGTTTCCTTCTTGAATCTCTTTTTCTAGTTCAGTTCTGTCTGCAACCTCGTAAGATATAGGTGTATAAAAACGTCCCTCACAGTGTTCTTTCTTCTTTCCCTATTACCTTTAGTCTTTAGCCAAATCCTCAGCACCGGTTTCTGGTGTTTCCAACAACTTATCCAAATGTTTTCAGATTGTTGTTGAGCAGCGATGTCGTTTATTGCCGCTACACTGCTGTTGGCGGAGAGTGTCCAAACAGGGTGGACGGTTGTTTTAAAGGTATATACATTTGGCTGGCGTAGTTATCAAATAATTCAAGGACTTGTGTATTCAAAAAGGAGCATCAATAAAAAAGCTCTGAAATATTGAGGATCGATATTGCTACAAATTCAGGTAAGTGAATATTGTCATATTGCACCATCTTCAAACGTATATAGTTTTGAGGCGATTCGTTTCAACTTCTTGCGGCGTGGTCGAATTGACGCGCAAAATCCGCATCAACACAACAAGAATATAACAAAATTCAGAGAGCTGAAAGCAAGATCCTTTTTGGGGGAAAATGCTGCATTCGATAAAAAAGTCAATAAATTTATTGAATACGATTTATTTTCAGGAAAAATTCTGATTTTAAACCTCTAAATTTTGCATTTTTTTGGGGTTGAGAATGAAGCTCATGCGCGGGGACTATAGTCTTGGTTTGAGCTAGTCAAAATCTGTCGTGATTTTTTTTCAATAAGTAAAGATGCGATATCTAATACACGCCAATTCGACCACACCAACAAGCCGAGACAAATCGAGGGATCGAAAATAAATCAAATGCACGAAGACCCAGAATCAGCCTAACTGTATGAACCGTTGCGATCTTAAAGCACGTGAATTATTCTATCAGAAGACCAACGAACACATTTTACCTTTAAAGTTTCTCTAATGCTAAGCATATTCTCTGAAACTATATTTCAAAATACTGTAATATGCTCTGTTTTCCGGTATAAGAGGATGAAAGCGAGAGAGAATGAAAAAAAGATAGAGAAAAACACACAGTATCACACCACATACTAGAGCCGCACTATTATAACATAACATGTGAATTGCTCGTGAGGAAGGTAGGTGCAAAATCTAAACATGCAAGTAACAAGCATGTAACAAGTAACGACGGTTACGGGGTTCCTTAAAGATGGCCGACTACACTGAAAAAAATTCTCGGCGTTTTCACCAAGGTCCGTTGGTACCTTTACCATCTCACTTTTTTTTACCAATTATTGGTAATTTTACCAAGACAGACTAGTAAGCTTACCTAAAAACCGGCATTTTTACTGTTTTTTTCAGGTAAGATTACCACTTTTATTCGTAATCAATTCCCGATAACTTTGCCATTTTATCTCGGTAATTCTACCACAGTCGATAAAAAATATTGGCGTTTTTACCAAGGTCCAGTAAAATTTCTGAGAAAGTTCAATAATTTTAGCGAGATTTCTCGGTAAAATTACCAATTCAATAAATGGTAATTTTACTAAGAAAAAACTGGGATCAGATAGAACCCTGAATTCTTGGTAATTTTACCCTTTTCTTAGTAAATACACCGAGACTTTTTTTTTCAGTGTACCTATGATGCCGTATCTGGCGCGGAAGTCAAAAGGGCAACTTGCTTCTTTCCATTTCTTTTAATACCAAATTTTTAATTATATCTTTTTTCGCGAACTTATTCCCATAGGGGAAGACGGGGTAATAAGAGAAATGGTGGGGTAATAAGAGAGTGACACCCTTATTTGAGGAGTTGTAATTGAGTTACAAATTTGAAAAAAAATAGGGCATATGCACCTATCAATGGGTATCACTTCCTCAAAGTTTCAATAATTTTCGTGCTTCAGTTTAGTGGAAAAAAAAATGTAAATATTTTCCAATTTGTTTTTCTCTTATTGTACCCCCTGGACTAATAGTAGAGCAGGTCTATATCTCGTATGAAATTTTAATTGGAAGCAAGGAAAAGTATAAAAGATCAAGCATTAAATCACTCTTAATAGCCCTGCTTTGAGTCAGATCGGACGAATGGTTCTTGAGTTATGAACTTTTGACACTTGAAAATCGGCAAGTTTAAGAAATGAATTCAAAATGCAAGTTTTGAAAATTGTAATAAAATTGTGTTTATTGGAATTGTATTCGTTTGTTGTATTGTATTGTTTTCTATTGTTGTGTGTTGTTTGTTGTATTGTATTGTTTGTTGTTTTTCTGTTCCGAGTCATTTAAGCTGAAAAAACAAATCACCAACAGTTTTAGTGTTTGTTATACTATTGTACCCCTCCTTGGCAAGACTTCACTCTCTAATTAGCCACAGGTCACCGCTTGGGGCCAATAAGAGTAGAACATCATAAATCAGTAAAAAAAAAAACTAATCTAAAAAACCAAGTATCAGGAAGAAGCCTCATATCCTAAGCTACGAAATGATGTATAATTTGATTTTTTCTGAAAATATTTACTTAAGTTTATGTTGATTAAAGCGCCGAGATACACCAACTTCGAAACCCAGTTCAAAAAGAGGGTATGTTTAAACACTGGTCCCGTCCCAGCCACTCCTCCGGTTCGGCCCGGAATTAAATACGAAACGCGGCAATGGACCAATATTCGTTCTCCACAGCGGTAGTTCCGTTATCACTCACCAGAGAGCGGCAAAATCCAATCTATCTTATTGTCCCACTCTCTTGTTACCCCGTTTTCCCCTACGAATTACCAGAATTCTGAATAATTCTTCACTGTGTTGTCTTCCGTAAAAAAAAATCGCACTTCTTCAACCTTTTCCTAAAAAAATTATTTTCTGCCAATTTTGATGCGCTAGAAAAAGGCGTTCTTTCAAACGGGGATGTGGAGCTTAAATGTTACGAATGCTGGAGGGGAAACGTGTGTAAGTAGACCACCATATGATTCTCAAACTAAAGAGCTTGAATAAAAATGAAATTACGAAAACGCATTTCTCACTTGTCATATGTCTGTTTCTTCATGTTTTTTTTGTAATTATTGCCGAAAATTATCGCATTGAATTTGCAATTAATTTTTGTAATGGATAAAAAAAAAAAAAAAAAAAAAAAAAAAAAAAAAAATTAAACACCTATAAGGTATGATGACCTGAACACGTTTTGATCCATCGCTTTAAAGGAGTATGATATCAAATCGGCCCAACTTCTCTGAAATATGCCCATCTCTGATCAATAGGTAATTTTTTCGAGACCTTCCGACTCATCGCTGAGGAGACACTGATCATTACTTGACCCATAGTGTATGTCCTTGTTTAGATGTCAAAGAGGTCCATATGAGAACTGTAATGAATTTTTTTCTTTAAAGAGATAAAAACCAAAAAATCGTCATAAAATTGAAAAAAAATTCAAAGAAAAAAAAAGGAATGGGCCGGCCGGCCGTACATACAAGTGGTAGATAATAGGGTGATTATCGTCTCTCTTGCATAAAGGTATGTGAACAAGTATCATCGTCAAAAGGAGGATCAGTCCTTCTTGAAATCATCATTGAAAGATAGACTGAAAGATATTCACACATGAGTGAACAACTTAACAACTTTCAAGCAATGCCAAATTCTTTGTTTGTTCCTGATAGAAGGCCTTACAAACTACTGAACCTTAGCGTATTATTGCGAATATTAAGTGCCTCCTACTTACAATGCTTCTTTCTAAACAACTTCACGGATGTTGGCAAGACCGGGCCGGTCACCCATGCCAAAATGTCGGGGCATACCAATGTATCTATTTTTCCCCTTTTTTTTGTACGTGCCGGCCGGCCCATTCCTTTTTTTTTCTTCGATTTTTTTTTTTCAATTTTATAACGATTTTTTGGTTTTTATCTCTTTAAAGAAAAAAATTCATTCCAGTTCTCATATGGACCTCTTTGACATCTAAACATGGACATACACTAAGGGTCAAGTAATGATCAGTGTCTCCTCAGTGATGAGTCGGAAGGTCTCGAAAAAATTATTGATCAGAGATGGGCATATTTCAGAGAAGTTGGGCCGATTTGATATCATACTCCTTTAAAGCGATGGATCAAAACGTGTTCAGGTCATCATACCTTATAGGTGTTTAATTTTTTTTTTTTTTTTTTTTTTGTGAAAAACGTTGGGGTGTATAGTATATCATGAAAGAGGAAATTGGGCCATTTTGATATCATTTCCTTTTAAATGATGAATCCAAACGGTACTGCCATCATATTTTTTGGGTGCCTGATTTTTTTTTTCTTTTTTTTTGGTAAAAAGTGACATTTTTTTGATTGGGCCGCAATTTTGTACAAAAATCATATTTTTGTTTTTTTGGAAGGATATCATGTATTTTTGGTGTGACTTCTACGCAGTATCAGGCAAAGAGAGTTCCCATTTTAAATTTAAAAGTTGTTCCCTGGCGGGAAGTAGAGAGGTAACGACCCCCCGGCAGAGACTGCATATGATATGCTTCGATAGCTCATAAAGGCACGTATCACGTCAAGTGTCGAGAGGCCGGATCGATTCATCGCGGACACTGGCTTCAAATCTGAATGGGATTCCCCTTTCTTTTGTTCTGCGATCAGAACTCAGGTAGACGGATACGATGGGCCAGCAATGCGGTTGAAATCTTGACATTTGAGGGATCGATCCGGGCGTGATCATTAGATCCTGAGTTAAATACCATTGCCCGGCAATGATATACGAAATCCAGTCTTTGGAGTTAACTAGCCGGCCCCGGCAAGTTCGCTCAACATATCCGATATTTGAATTTGCCGCGTAAATCAGACTACCGCTACCTCGCTGCGCGGCGCTTCCATTCCTACTGCGTTATCACTTATCTATTCTAACTATTATTACAATCCTACTATTTTTCTCCTTCTTCTTCTTCTTCCTCCTCCTTCTCCTCTTCTTCTCAAATGATCTTCGCATCGAGAAACTCGTAAATTTTAAACAGACAATTTCAAGAAAAATTGTTTAAAAGTAGTTCTATTAAGCCCTTTTTAGTGTGCAATTTTGAAACATTATATCAATAATTAAAATTACATCAGTAAAGAAATTGAAACATTTGACTTTACTGTAACTTTTTACTTAATCTGGTTTTAACCAGAATTGAAAGAATTGAAAGAAAAAAATCATAATAATGCTTCAAACACGAGGCTTCTTTTTTAGAGATCTATTATGTAAAAGTCCTGAACCATTTTTCCTTTAGAAATATACCAAAAGTGTTATTCTAATTAATACCTCTTGACGAATTTTTAAGAGTTTGTGAAAAGTGCTTCACGTATTCGTTTTTACTAGGTCAAATCATCTTCATAGTGTTGTTTATACTTTTGATGGTAGAAGTGTAGAACCCTCCTCTCTACCCTGACCGCATTTCGGAATTATTGGTTTTAACTTATTGGGAAGAAAAGTCTCA